GGCGAGGGCCGGGTGGGCAGGGAGCCGTTGATGAGTATTTCGCGCCGACAATGCGGTTCAAATTGCTAAATTTCACGCCGGGATGCACGTGTAGCAAAGCGTTATTATTTTCACTACGCCCGCGGCCGGCCCCGCTTTTGTCCAGCCAGCTGCCGGCGCGGCGAGACGTCGTGGATATAGAGGAAGATGGTTGGGGGGGGGGGGAGTACACGCCATAGGGTACGGGTACCCCCCTATGGTACCCCCCGCGGCGACATGGCGCTGTGTGCTCGCGGAGCAGGGCGGCCACGACTGGACCCAAGCGATTCCTTATTTGGCTGAGCAGCACAAGTCGCTTCTTCCAGGCCGCCCGCCCGCGCACCGCGCCCGGGCCGGGCCGGTACCAGCAGCAGGACCGCCCCCTTTGTTCCCTCTACGGCTTCCGTTATTCCAATTTGCCATCCGCATCTGCAGGCTGAGCGCGGCGTGGCGGGGCGGGGCGGGGCGGGGCGGGGCGCGGCGCGGCCCTCCCACGTCCACATGTGAGGACGACACGACACGCCGAGCCCATTCGACCCGGCGGGAGCGACTGACATTTCCAGGCGCCCTAATAATGTTCTGGTCACGCGCTTGACCCACGGACTCGCCATATAACATGCTCACTTATTGCTCCGTCCGCCCCGCAAGCTTCAAACAGGATGCACACCGCGAAGAACGAGGCGAGGAATAAAAATGTGTTTCTTTGATTGAAAAGCTTGCGGTGTTTGATTGTTTTTCGCGGGCGGGCGGGGAGGGCGTGGAGGAGTCGCTCCCGGCAACCCCCAGGCCAGGACCAGCCCGGTGCAGATGCCCCGTCGCGAGAAGAAGCGACCCGTCCCTTATCTGGCGCTCCTTGGTTGAAAGGCTCTGAAAAGTGCGGCGGGGGAGAAGTCTGGTGGAAAGATGGACCTCGGGCCCCCCGCCCGGGGCTGCCCTGGAGGCCGAGGTCCGACCCAGCCCCGCAGACGAATGGAGGATCCCGCAAGACTACACAAGACACCCACAAGACAACCGCAGGACACCCGCGTGAAACCCACAGGGAACCCACAGGAAACCCACAGGAAACCCACAAGAAACCCACAAGAAACCCACCCAAAGGAAACCCACAAGAAACCTGGAGGAAATACTCAGGAGGACAACCGCAGGATAACCACAGGACACCCACAGGACCTGAAGTATAATAGACTCTCGTGGTTCGCGGTGACGGGACGCGGGACTCACCTGTCATCTGGCACGGCCTCCTCCGCGATGCGCGGCCACCTGGAAACCAAGAGGAAGCTCAGTCAGTCACAAGAAGCAGAAATCAAAATGAAGAAAACAGACCAGTGCGGGTGAGGGTCCCAATCGAAGACAAACTGTCGCCGAGACTGTCGCCGTCTCGGTCGTCGTTCGTTGACAAGGTCCACTCGAGAGTGCGTCGTTCTGTCGATCTCATCATGGATGACAGAGGCGCAGCCACCGCAGCCTCACTGGACCGAACTGCCCCCCCGGGCGCCCGTTCGTCGAGGGCCCCGTTGCCAACGATCCGATTCCAGCCCACCGATCCCCACCCCACTCCCTCGCTCCACATCACCCTCGACTCGAAATATCGCCACACACTTGTCACTCAACCAGCAGAGATAACAACCCCTTTTGGCAATCTCGAGCCGGACGAGAGAGGGTGGCAACACCGGCAGACAGACAAGGGTGGCGGGGCAGGGGGGAGGGTGGGACACAATGGGCGGCAGGGCGCCGGCGGCACAAGTGACGCTGGGGCTCGGCGGGCTCGGGCCGGGCAACCACAGCAGAGGGCAGTATAGAGTTGCCAGCCCGCTAGGCGCCCACGGGTGGCCGGGTAGGCAGCCCGCTCCACTGCCGTGCGTTCAGCAGT